TGGGCTACTTCGTGGATGATATCAATGATGAGAAACTCATCGCTCTCCAAGATGGACGAGATCACGAAGGTCAAGCACGGGTTCTCCATGGCGACAATAGGGAACGAGGGAGGGAGGAAAACGATGTCGTACCTGGAAGCGAGGGGAGGGAGGGAGGGAGAAACCGGATCACTTTCCGAATCTTCAAGATAATTCTCAAAATAGATAGATAGATAGATAGATGATAGATAGATAGATAGATAGATAGATAGATAGATAGATAGATAGATAGATAGATAGATAGATAGATAGATAGATAGATAGATAGATAGATGATAGATAGATAGATGATAGATAGATAGATGATAGATAGATAACTGATGAAAGCAGAACGAGCTTGAAATGGCCATCTTAGTCTCCCAATTTAATTCTTTAACTCTTTGTCAGAAAAAGAAATTTGGATTTAAAATGTTTCGCAGTTGCGACTTGAGCCTGCTTAACGCCCCTAGTTGGGGGGGCTGCAAGGCAAAAGATATTGTAAAAAGTAAAACTGCAGTATAGCAGTTAAAAATGTCAAGGTGTAATCAATCAGACCGGTCTGTCTGAAAAACTTCCTGTATATACTCCCTTAACTCAGCTGGCAAAGAGGGGAGAAAGCCTGTGGCTTGGTGGTTAAATCACGGCCTAGTATGTAAACTGCCCAGGTTCGAATCCCATAAAGGGTATGGCTAACTGATGAAAGCAGAACGAGCTTGAAATGGCCATCTTAGTCTCCCAATTTAATTCTTTAACTCTTTGTCAGAAAAAGAAATTTGGATTTACAGTAAAATGTTTCGCAGTTGCGACTTGAGCCTGCTTAATGCCCCTAGACAGAGACAGAGACAGAGACAGAGAGTCAGACAGAGAGAGAGACAAAGAGAGACAGAGAATCAGAGAGAGAGACAGAGAGTCAGAGAGAGACAGAGAGTGAGACAGAGAGAAACAGTCAGAGAGAGACAGAGACAGGCAGAGAGTCAGAGAGAGAGACAGAGAGAGAGAGACAGAGAAACAGAGACAGATAGAGAGTCAGAGACAGAGAGAGAGAGAGACAGAGAGTGAGACAGAGAGCGAGACAGAGAGAGTCAGAGAGACAGAGAAAGAGAGACAGAGAGAGTCAGAGACAAATAGAGAGAGACAGAGACAGACAGACAGAGAGAGAGTCAGAGAGACAGAGAGAGAGAGAGAGAGACAGACAGACAGACAGACAGAGAGAATCAAAGAGACAGAGAGCGAGACAGAGAGAAAGAGAAAGAGAGAGACAGACACAGAGAGTCAGAGAGAGTCAGAGAGAGAGAGACACAGAGAGAAACAGAGAGAGAAAAAGTGAGACAGAGACAGAGAGAAACAGAGTGAGTCAGAGAGACAGAGAGAGAGAGACACAGAGAGACACAGAGAGACAGAAAGAGAGACACAAACACACAGAGAGAAAATCAGAGAGACAGAGACAGGCAGAGAGATAGAGAGAGACAGAAAGAGAGAGACAAAGACACAGAGAGACAGAGAGAGACAGA